GGATATATTTAAATGAGAACAAATATATACCTTTTGTAACATCAATAATCCTAAGAATCATGTGTGCTTAGTCTGAAAGACGCATATTAAATTTGGTGACCTCTATCGTTGTTGTTGTTGTAGCAGTTTTACACGTTCTGTTGTTTTTTTCGACTAATCCGGTTCTTCCTCAATGTCCAGGTTTAGGAATTCTGCTACCTTTATGGGCTGTAGCCATAGATCCTCTGGACGGAGTTGGGTAGGCTTGGCAGGACAATTAAACAAATGCAGCGTGTTGTGCGGGCCTGTATCGCACGCTGGGCAGGCGTTTCGCACATCCTCATCAATTCGTGCCCAATACGAATTGAGACGGCTGCACCATCCTGAACGTAGTTTGGTCAAAACTACCCTGGTTTGCCTAGGCAGCCGACGTTCTTCAGCTGCAATGGATGGGGGGTGGACTCCGAGTATGGCATTCATACTGTAATTATTGACTACCTCTGCGACTGCATCAGTATGGATGCTATTCAGACCTGCTCGATAGGCTTCATGATCTAGAGGCTCTCTCTTATATCGCTGGACCTCTCTCTCTAGATCGTGCAGGTCCTTCCTGACACGCCTGGGTGGGGGAGTTCTATCCACCATATGGTGGTTAGGGTGACTCCCGCGATAACACCCAAGCAGGTACTGCAACGAAAGCATATGATTATGCTGACGTAAGGGAAGAACCTTCGTCTCCTCATGTAAGTGGTCCACAGGCGTCATGAGGAGGCACCCTGTTGCAGTTCTCAGGGCGGCATTCTGGCAGGTCTGAATACATTTCCACTGCGTTGCACTTGTATTCGCCGACAACACTGGAGCCGCATAGCTAACCACAGACCGACCTATCGCTTTATAAGAGGTCAACAAGGTTTCCTTATCCGCACCCCAAGTGCTGCCGGCTAGCGCCTTGAGGACCTTGTTCCTACTTTTCATTTTATCGCAAATAGCTGTGGCTTGCGCGGAAGACTTGAACATGCTATCGAATGTGACCCCAAGAATTTTGGGGTAGTTGGTGGTCGGAATTATATGCCCCTCGACCTGCACATTCAGCTGTGTTCTCATCTCCGCAGTCCATGTGGTAAATAGTGTGGCCGTCGATTTAGTGGCCGATATTTGCATATTCCTCGCGTGGAAGAATGCGGCAAGCTCCGCGAGATAATTATTCACCCTGACACATATGTCATCAACTACAGGACCCGACGCCATGATCGTACAATCATCCGCATAAGTTACGATCTCGATGCCGTCTGGAGGGCGCGGAATTCCGGAAAGGTAGAGGTTAAACAGTTCCGGAGATATCACCCCACCTTTGGGGAACTCCCTGTTTCACTCTACGAGGCTTGGACTTCTTATTCCGGAATTCCACGTACGACTGGCGTCCACACATATAGTTGACTATCCAACGTTTCAAACTTGGCCGGAGGGTAGTGTTCTCAACGTCCTCGAACAGCGTGGCATGGTTGACCGTATCAAAGGCCTTTGATAGGTCGAGAGCCACCACTACTGTTCTGTGGCACGGCCTGTTCTGGTTGAGTCCTCGACTGATATGTGTGGATATGGCGTGCAATGCTGTTGTAGTGCTATGTAGTGGACGGAAACCGTGTTGATGGTTAGCAACTGATACTGGGGAGGAGTAAGGCCTCGAGAGTCTTTGCTACTGGCGACAAAAGCGAAATTGGCCTGTATGATTCGCCTTTGCTGGCATCCTTGCCAGGCTTCAGTAGCGGGACCACCCTGCCCATTTTCCAGGCTTCGGGAACTATGTGGGTGGCTAACGACAAGTTAAGGACTTTGGTTAAATACTCAACTCCCGGCGTATCCAGTTGCTTCAACATTACCATTGATATTCCTTCCGGGCCCAACGCTTTAGATGACTTAGCGTTTCGGATGACATTCGCAACATCACCCATCGTAAACTGTGGAGGTACATCCTCGGCGGGAAGAGCTCTTATAAGACGTAGTACTCTTCGCCTCGCCCTATCACTCTCGGGGTGCTCGACAAATTGGCGGTTAAAACTGCCAGCGCACCTCTTCGGATCAGTCACAGTTACGTCGTTAAATGTGACTGCTGTCCTATCATCCTTTTTCCCAGGGTTCAAGAGTGACTACCGTTACCCACAGTTTACTCAAATCGGTTCCGATGTTGCAACAAATCAGATGGTCTAGCCACTTTTTCCGCTTATGCTCCTGTACCAACCGGTTGACTTCCACTGTCAGTTCACTGACTCTGGGATCAGTAGGGTTGGTACGTCGGAGCTCATCACGCTCATTCGCTAATCCCGCTGCCTCTGCTGGGAAATTTGGTCTTACTTCGGGTATTCGACCAGCAGGTATATAGCGAGCGGCTACAGCTTTGATGATGTCCCGGAAAATCCTTTCAGCTACCCGAACATCAGAAGGATCGGGCAGTTCTCTGAAGCGAAGGTTGGTGAACTCTCTGAACTCGGGCCAGTGGGCTTTCCCATGGTTAAGGAAAGTGCGGCGTTCAGAGGTTATGAAATCGGGCGATCTGCTGATGGAGACGATTATCGGGAGATGGTCTGAGCCAAGAGAAATGACGGGTTGCCAAGTCACGTCATTTATCAGACCGGGTGACACGATGGTTAAGTCTGGCGAACTGTGACACTCTCCTCTTATTCGGGTGGGGGCATCCTCGTTTACCGTGCAAAATGTGGAGCAGTCAATCTGCTCTGCCAACGCTGATCCCCTCTGGTCATTACCTAGGACGGAATGCTACAACTCATGGTGGGCATTGAAGTCCCCTAGTACCAGGCGGTTATTGCCTTCCAAAAGTGGGCTTATATTAGGCAAGTAACGCGGTTCACAGCTATTAACCGGCGGGATATACACATTAAGCACCTCTACCTCGGCAGTACCACACTTGACTGCTACCCCCATACACTCCATGTACGGGTCACTAGAGACTAGCTCAAGCGAGATAGGTCTGTATTGAACAGAATGGTGTATCAGGAACGCTAATCCCCCACCTCCACTTCTGGTGCGATCTTTCCTCAATACGTTGTAACCATTGCAACGTTGTAAGCTACAATTTTCATTGAGCTTGGTTTCCTGCACCGCTGCGATCTTGATATTCCTCCGATTCATAAAATCCACTATCTCATCAATTTTACCTCGGAGTCCGTTGCAATTGAACTGCAAGAACGATGCATTGTCCGGGATTGGAACAGCAACATGTGGCGTTAGGTGCTGCGGTAAAGGTTGCTGTTCTGGAGACTGCGGGGGAGTTCCATACTCCGACGACGACTCGGAAGTTGACGACGAGGTCGTGGACTCACTGGGGACTACGTTGGTGCAGCACGAAGCAACATAGTCCCTATCGCTATAGTCTCGCAACCGGGTTAAACCGGAACAATTTCTAAAATGCACCCATCCTCTGCATCCATTACATCGCACCGAGACTGATCTATGGTGGATGGTGTTTTGGCAAACCGTACAGAACCATGGTCCGGGGTTTTCCTCAAGCCCGACACGGACCAAAAGAATCCGGAGCAAGCATTCCGGGATGTGCTGCTCCCAAAACAGAAAAATAAACAAACACGAACATGTATACACTGGGTTGGCAGCCGCTGGCCGAAACTGGAGTGTTGTTGTTTCGGGTCAATCCGGTGTCGTAGAACCCGCTGCCGTGGGATTGGACCTCTATCGTAATTGCAACTGGTGAATGAGGAGGCTCACGGACATAATTCAATCAACAAAGATTTCAACTTTTTAACATACTTTATGGGGTTCCGAACTTTTATAAATCGATGAAACTTTATTTTTGATAGTTAAATTAAAGTCATATTGCCAGGATTTCAATTTAGGAATTACTATCGATTCTGAAGTCCAAAAAACTGCAAGAAATTGACTAGGTATAGAAATAGTCCATCCAATGAAAAATTTAAAATGCAAGATTCATTGGGACTGCAATCAGTGAAAAACCGAATATGAAGAGCTTTGTTATATGCCGACTATACAAAATAGTGGAGGAAATTGAAAATTTAGAAAGAGGATTCATATCCTCGGAAAATTCTTCCGAAACCTTAAAAGTAACCTTAACTTACATGTAACGTTATACGGTGACTAAGCGCTATCGTCAGTAATTGCACTGCGGGATATTACACTTGGAAAATTGTTTGGTTAATAGATAAAAATCCCTAAAAGGGGTTTCGGGTCAAACGCTTTTGGGGTCCATTTTATATAGCTTAACCAAACACAAAGGGCCTCAAATATTTTGCTCTATACTTCGGAAAAGTTACGATAGAGTTTTAAATTTGATACAGTCTTAGGGGTTTCATGAAGAATCAGTTGTACAAAGTATGTTTCAGGTCGGTCTAAACGGGACCTCATAATATTCGGTAGGTAGGTACCTATATTTGGTATAACGGTACTGCCATTTTCGGTAAGTACTGCATTTTTAAACCACTTTCGTAGGAATTTGCAGTTTAAAATGTCAATACATTTTTTCTAAGAGTTTTCATTACCAAAAGGTTGACACGGCAGTTCATAACGCATTTTCATTTATTTATTAGATTGTAAGAAAGCGGCCAATATAGCATCCACGAATTCTTGTGTAGATGAGATCATGAGCTCATATACTTCAAATGATTTATTTATAGTTCAAAAAGATCACATAACAATGTTGATGTTTCAATTCCGGACAGTGCATCATTCTTGCAAATCAATTGCAACGGACTCCGAGGTAAAATTGATGAGATAGTGGATTTTATGAATCGGAGGAATATTAAGATCACAGCGGTGCAGGAAACCAAGCTCAATGAAAATTGTAGCTTACAAAGTTGCAATGGTTACAACGTATTGAGGAAAAATCGCACCAGAAGTGGAGGTGGGGGATTAGCGTTCCTGTTACACCATTCTGTCCAATACAGACCTATATCACATAACAATGGTTGTGGAAATACTTACATATCAAAAATTGACGAAAGCTTAAAATGGCTGCTAATACATGAATACACAAATTGTTTAAGAATACAAAGTTTATAAATTTGAAAATAAACATTATAGATATACAATAAAATTATAAAATAAATAAATATCAATATAATATAAAATAAAGGGTACAAAGTAATAATAAATATATTTTATATGTCCATTATTAGGTTCATGGCGAAGTCCATACAACTTTTATATGACAGAATTGTGGATTCCAAAGTGCGGAGCTTTTTAATATATTCTAAATGCAGTTTAGTTCTATTATTTTTATATTTCACATTATTTAAAAGCTTTGATATAATATATGATATCCAAAATACATTGGTTTTGGGCTCAAAAGTTTCCCACTTGTCACTGAAAAAAATAAACCGTTAGGTGGTTGATATTGTACAACCAAAAATTTAACTTACTTTAAAATATCGCGCATCATGCGATATATGTCAAACTGATAGTCTCCCGTCGCGGCGAAAAGATCCTTATCAAGAGATAGATCATTGTAATAACAACAATCTCCGTACGTTATGCGCGAAAGCGTGTAGTCAATGACTGTAGCCTTAACGCCTTTAGTCGGCAAACTTATAACCTGATTTTTGAGCTTATAACATATATACTTTTCATTCGTTGTGGCAATTAGAATATTGCCCCAGTGCAAGTCACGATGTTCAAATTCATAGACCATCTCTCCCACTGCGAGGGCAAATACAATCTGAAACAAAGCAAATCGGAATTTATTGGTTAATTTTCCCTTTGATTATTTAGTTCTCTCAGGTCAAAATTACCTGTTGGAGGGCATAATATGATTGCTCAGCATTCTTGAAAATAAACTTTTCCATATCTTTACCACTAAAAGCCATTTCCAAAACAACATATATTTGATCGGACATGAAACACTGGGGATGATCATTTTCGGATTCTTTTCGATCGTCATATTCTTCCCAAAGCTTTTGTAGGTGCGCTGGGTAGTGCCCCTTAACACATTTGACCTATATTCGGAGTAGTTTTAATAACATTTATCATAAATAGGACTTAAATATTTCAGTTTACCGCTTGTATGTTTACAAATCCATTGGCAAAACTTATTCCTCTGTTTTCGTGGCCAAGGGCGCACAGTTCCATGGAAATAACAACTTCCTGCAGTATTTGTTCATAAGTTTTTTGGATCTCTCCGTTTACTAATTGTAGGCCCTCAATAGGTATTATTTTTAAAACGACATTATCGGCCTCTTTTTGGGTTGGAGATTTGTACAAAAATACCTCTCCAAATGCCCCTTCGCCAATTTTTTCACAACATTCTAAATATGGATCACTATAAGCACTTTCAAAACGCAAAACATGCGACTGATTACACCTTCCAAGCAGTTGACGCTTGAAATTAGTTTTGGTTGGCTCTGAACTGGAATGCTTCCTACACGAAATAGATTTTCGATGAGCTGCAACAGTTAACGAGACTTTCCTTTCGCTTTCATAATCTCCATTCAACTTTGTTGGATTACCTGGGGAATTAAAGACGATAATTATTATTTAAAAACATTTTTAAAATGTAAAAAACAAAAAATAAAAAAGGGTTATGTTCGGCTGTGGCGAAATATTAGTATCCTCCACCACAAGGTGGAAACAATCCCACGGCAGTGAGTTCTGCGACACCTGATTGACCCGAAACAACAACAATCCAGTTTCGGTCAGCGGCTGCCAACCCAGTGTATACATGCTCGTGTTTGTTTATTTGTCTGTATTGGGAGCAGCACATTTCGGAATGCTTGCTCCGGATTCTTTTGGTCCGTGCCGGGCTTGAGGAAAACCCCGTACCCTGGTTCTGTACGGTTTGCCAAAACACCATCCACCATAGATCAGTCTCGGTGCGATGTAATCGATGCAGAGGATGGGTGCAGTTTAGGAATGTTCCGGTTTAACCCGGTTGCGAGACTATATCGATAGGGACTATGTTGCATCGTGCTGTACCAACGTAGTCCCCAGTGAGTCCACGACCTCGTCGTCAACTTCCGAGTCGTCGTCGGATTATGGAACTCCCCTGCAGTCTCCAGAACAGCAACCTTTACCACAGCACCTAACGCCACATGTTGATGTTCCAATTCCGGACAGTGCATCATTCTTGCAATTCAATTGCAACGGCATTCCGTCCTAGATAATGACCAGAGGGGATCAGCGTAGGCAGAGCAAATTGACTTCTCAACATTTTGCATGGTAAACGAGAATGCACCCCCCCCTCTTCCCGGCGAGAATGTACCTCCACAGTTTACGATGGGTGATGTTGCGAATGTCATACGAAACGTTAAGTCATCTAAAGCGTTGGGCCCGTACGGAATATCAATGGTAATGTTGAAGAAATTGGATACACCGGGAGTTGAGTATCTAACCAAAGTCCTTAACTTGTCGTTAGCCACCCACATAGTTCCCGAAGCCTGGAAAATGGGCAGGGTGGTCCCGCTACTGAAGCCTGGCAAGGATGCCAGCAAAGGCGAATCATACAGGCCAATTTCGCTTTTGTCGCCAGTAGCAAAGACTCTCGAGGCCTTACTCCTCCCCAGTATCAGTTGCTAACCATCAACACGGTTTCCGTCCACTACATAGCACTACAACAGCATTGCACGCCATATCCACACATATCAGTCGAGGACTCAACCAGAACAGTAGTGGTGGCTCTCGACCTATCAAAGGCCTTTGATACGGTCAATCATGCCACGCTGTTCGAGGACGTTGCTTCGTACTACCCTCCGGCCAAGTTTGAAACGTTGGATAGTCAACTATATGTGTGGACGCCAGTCGTACGTGGAATTCCGGAATAAGAAGTCCAAGCCTCGTAGAGTGAAACAGGGAGTTCCCCAAGGTGGGGTAATATCTCCAGAACTGTTTAACATCTACCTTTCCAGAATTCCGCGGCCTCCAGACGGCATCGAGATCGTAACTTATGCGGATGACTGTACGATCATGGCTTCGGGTCCTGTAGTTGATGACATATGTGTCAGGGTGAATAACTATCTCGCGGAGCTTGCCGCCTTCTTCCATGCGAGGAATATGAAAATATTCGCCACTAAATCGACGACCACACTATTTACAACATGGACTGCGGAGATGAGAACACATCTGAATGTGCAGGTCGAGGGGCACATAATTCCAACCACCAACTACCCCAATATCCTTGGGGTCACATTCGATAGCATGTTCAAGTCTTCCGCGCAAGCCACAGTAGGAACAAGGTCCTCAAGGCGCTGGCCGGCAGCACTTGGGGTGCGGATAAGGAAACCTTGTTGACCTCTTATAAAGCGATACGTCGGTCTGTGGTTAGCTATACGGCTCCACTGTGGTCGGCGAATACGAGTGCAACGCAGTGGAAAAGTATAAAGACCTGCCAGAATGCCGCCCTGAGAACTGCAACAGGGTGCCTCTTCATGACTCCTGTGGACCATTTACATGAGGAGATGAAGGTTTTTCCCTTACGTCAGCATAATCATATGCTTTCGTTGCAGTACCTGCTTGGGTGTTATCGTGGAAGTCACCCTAACCACCATATGGTGGATAGAACTCCCTCACCCAGGCGTGTTAGGAAGGACCTGCATGATCTAGAGAGAGAGGTCCAGCGATATAAGAGAGAGCCCCTAGATCATGAAGCCTATCTAACGGGTCTGAATAGCATTCATACTGATGCAGTCGCAGAGGTAGTTAGTAATTACAGTATGAATGCCATACTCGGAGTCCACCCCTCATCCATTGCAGCTGAAGAACGTCGGCTGCCTAGGCAAACCAGGGTAGTTTTCGCCCAACTACGTTCAGGATGGTACAGCCGTCTCAATTCGTATTGGGCACGAATTGACGAAGATGCGCGGAACGCCTGCCCAGCGTGCGATACAGGCCCGCACAATACGCTGCACCTGTTTAATTGTCCAGCCAAACCTACCCAACTCCGTCCAGAGGATCTCTGCCTACAGCCCATAAAGGTAGCAGAATTCCTAAACCTGGACATCGAAGAAGAACCGGATTAGTCAGAAAACAAACAACGGAGCATGTCAAAAACTGCTACAACAACAACGAGGTGGAAGAAATAGGAGTATTGGTTTTTTGGTTTTTTTTATAAAAATCCACGTCTTGTAGACTCTTTAAAAATTTTTTTATAAAAATCCACGTCTTGTAGACTCTTTAAAAAATATTTTATAAAAATCCACGTCTTGTAGACTCTTTAAAAAATATTTTATAAAAATCCACGTCTTGTAGACTCTTTAAACATTTTTTTATAAAAATCCACGTCTTGTAGACTCTTCAAAAAATATTTTAAAAAAATCCACGTCTTGTAGACTCTTTAAAAAATATTTTATAAAAATCCACGTCTTGTAGACTCTTCAAAAAATATTTTAAAAAAATCCACGTCTTGTAGACTCTTCAAAAAATATTTTAAAAAAATCCACGTCTTGTAGACTCTTCAAAAATATTTTATAAAAATCCACATCTTGTAGATTCTTCAAAAAATATTTTATAAAAATTCACGTCTTGTAGACTCTTCAAAAAATATTTTATAAAAATCCACGTCTTGTAGACTCTTTAAAACATTTTTTATAAAAATCCACGTCTTGTAGACTCTTCAAAAAATTTTTTATAAAAATCCCCGTCTTGTAGACTCTTTAAAACATTTTTTATAAAAATCCACGTCTTGTAGACTCTTCAAAAAATATTTTAAAAAAATCCACGTCTTGTAGACTCTTTAAAATTTTTTTTATAAAAATCCACGTCTTGTAGACTCTTCAAAAAATATTTTAAAAAAATCCACGTCTTGTAGACTCTTTAAAAAATATTTTATAAAAATCCACGTCTTGTAGACTCTTTAAAAATTTTTTTTATAAAAATCCACGTCTTGTAGACTCTTCAAAAAATATTTTAAAAAAATCCACGTCTTGTAGACTCTTTAAAAAATATTTTATAAAAATCCACGTCTTGTAGACTCTTTAAAATTTTTTTTATAAAAATCCACGTCTTGTAGACTCTTCAAAAAATATTTTAAAAAAATCCACGTCTTGTAGACTCTTCAAAAATATTTTATAAAAATCCACATCTTGTAGATTCTTCAAAAAATATTTTATAAAAGTTCACGTCTTGTAGACTCTTCAAAAAATATTTTATAAAAATCCACGTCTTGTAGACTCTTTAAAACATTTTTTATAAAAATCCACGTCTTGTAGACTCTTCAAAAAATTTTTTATAAAAATCCCCGTCTTGTAGACTCTTTAAAACATTTTTTATAAAAATCCACGTCTTGTAGACCCTTCAAAAAATATTTTAAAAAAATCCACGTCTTGTAGACTCTTCAAAAATATTTTATAAAAATCCACATCTTGTAGATTCTTCAAAAAATATTTTATAAAAATTCACGTCTTGTAGACTCTTCAAAAAATATTTTATAAAAATCCACGTCTTGTAGACTCTTTAAAACATTTTTTATAAAAATCCACGTCTTGTAGACTCTTCAAAAAATATTTTATAAAAATCCACGTCTTTTAGACTCTTAAAAAAATATTTTATAAAAATCCACGTCTTGTAGACTCTTCAAAAATATTTTATAAAAATCCATGTCTTGTAGACTCTTCAAAAAATATTTTATAAAAATCCACGACTTGTAGACTCTTCAAAAAATTTTTTATAAAAATCCACGTCTTGTAGACTCTTCAAAAAATATTTTAAAAAAATCCACGTCTTGTAGACTCTTCAAAAAATATTTTATAAAAATCCACGTCTTGTAGACTCTTAAAAAAATATTTTATAAAAATCCACGTCTTGTATACTCTTCAAAAAATATTTTATAAAAATCCACGTCTTGTAGACTCTTCAAAAAATATTTTATAAAAATCCACGTCCTGTAGGCTCTTCAAAAAAAAAATTTAAAACCCAGGTTTTGTAGGCTCTTCAAAAAATATTTTTTTAATTCACGTCTTGTAGGCTCTTCAAAAAATATTTTATAAAAATTCACGTCTTGTAGACTCTTTAAAAAATATTTTATAATAATCCACGTCTTGTAGACTCTTCAAAAAATATTTTATAAAAATCCACATCTTGTAGACTCTTCAAAAAATATTTTATAAAAATCCACATCTTGTAGACTCTTCAAAAAATATTTTATAAAAATCCACATCTTGTAGATTCTTCAAAAAATATTTTATAAAAATTCACGTCTTGTAGACTCTTCAAAAAATATTTTATAAAAATCAACGTCTTGCAGAATCTTCAAAAAATATTTTATAAAAATCCACGTATTGTAGGCTCTTCAAAAAATATTTTATAAAAATCCAAGTCCTGTAGGCTCTTCAAAAAATATTTTTTTTTTTAATTCACGTGTTGTAGGCTCTTCAAAAAATATTCTTTAAAAATCCACGTCTCGTAGGCTCTTCAAAAAATATTTTATAAAAATCCAAGTCCTGTAAGCTCTTCAAAAAAAATTTTTAAATCCACGTTTTGTAGGCTCTTCAAAAAAAAATTTTTGTTAATTCACGTC